TGCCAAAATTCAGTAAGCAGCCCTCTGTCCAAAATAATTGCCCACCTCTGTCCTAGTCTCACAGCAAACTATTAACGATTCTTTGTGGGTGGTTTGTAGCTAGTTGTGCACCCAACCCTATGGATACTTAAAACAAACTATATATTTTTGTTAGCTGTACTAAGCAGGCTCTCTCAGTTTACTTGAACCCTGCCAGACTCACTCTACTATTACAAAGTCTAATTTCACAGGCTAGGAGAACATACCTTCTGCAGAATTGGATAGTAAAGGAAGCAAGATAGAGCATGCCAGAGAGCTGCAACTTCACTCTTTTTATCTTGCAACCACTTTCTATCTGATGTGGTATCTTTCCATTTATAATCAGCAGCAAAGAATCTGAACAAATGCTTTCTTGAAAAGGTGATTTTAAAATAAATTTCTATTTAGTCAGAATAATCCTACCATCAGAGTTAAATTGGCACTCCAGTATACAGCAGTTCTGAACCTTTTGTTTATGAGGAATCTCGTATTATCTTTAAAGAGAATTGCCTTCTTGCTCTACAAGCTTGCAGCATTAAAACAGAAGCAAGTATTGATATCTGTTTTTAACAATGTTAAGCTTCATTTCCAAATAAATGGATGCGATTCTTAGGGTGTTAGGTGGCTTAGACTTTCCCTTTCCACATTTCATTGCATCCTTTCAACTGCACTTAGATATAAATTAGTGCTCTGTGAATTTGCCCGATCACCTAAGTGTATGCTGTAAGTACTGAAAATGCGTAAAGTATCCAACTGGTATGAAAACTTATGCCAAAAGCTGAAAATCACTAGGGATCCTGGTTTTCTCTGTTAAAAAATCCAAAACTTGCCGATTAAAACTCCCCCAAATCTGCAGTTTTCCAAAACTAAAATGAAATGCCGCTCTATATATAGGTATCAGCTGAATGCAATGTTTTATTTATGTATTTGCAATTTTAAAACAATTTGGAGACCTATCAGTGCCTCAATCATTACAAAAAAATAAATTCTAAATACCTCTATATTTTGGCATGTGATTTGAGTTTTTTTTTTGTTTTTGTTTTTTTTTAAATCATGGAAAAAAGTCAGAGCTCCCCCTGCCTCCTCACCAGGACATGGGTCCAGCTGTGGCTGTTCCCACCGCTGCTGTGTGGCACTGAGCAGCCCTGATATGCCGGTGCCCTGCCC